GTTCCAAGAAAACCCCAAGAAACGGTTTGCCGGCTCCTGGGGGGGGGCCGAGTTGGGGACCCCTCCATCCTGTAATCGATGGCATCCAAGATGATCCCTATAAACCTTCCAGGGTTACCGAGAGGGTTCCAAGGAGGGCCCCCGAAACTCCCAGGGAGCACCAGCAACAGCAACTGCCGCAATAATACCTCTAGATGGTTCCACAAGTCCTCGTCCGCGTCGTCCTCATCCTAGTCCTCGTCCTCCTCGTCCTCATCCGCGTCGTCGTCCTCCTCGTCCTCCTCGTCCTTCTCGTCCTCCTCGTCCTCCTAGTCCTCCTCGTCGTCGTCGTCGTCCTCCTCCGCCTCCTCTTCCCCTCGCCCCCACGCGGCATCCAGGGATGATGGCCCGTAGCGGCCTTGCAAGCCCACCCCCTTGCTCGCTTTGTTTCCCTAGATGTGTCTCTCCGTCTCTTTTCCCGTCAGCCGCCGCAAGGGTCAAGCAAGCCTTAATGCCGCGGCTGGTGGGGGTACCTTTTTGATCGCGACCGCAGGCGGGCACCCGCGCGGCGTCAAAGGGTCGAACAACGCAGGGCCAGGGCGCACAGCGCAACTGTCGCAAGCGAAGAGCAGGAAAAGAAGGCCACGATAGTGGCGAAAACAACCAGGCGATGCACAGCGGCAGCGCGGCAAAGGCGAGGGCGAACGAAGAAATAAAGGAAAAAGGCGACAGAACAAACAACAGCTAAACCGCGGCTCGGACGCGGAACAAGTAGAATATCGTCCGCAAAACTCCCTGTACTTGTCGTAAGTAGGCAGCAGGGGCCGAAACCAATCCAGTCGGATGCGGTGCCACGGGGCAAGGCGGCCACGGAACCGAGGAGTGACCAACGGCGGCAGGAGCAAGTGGTAACGCAAGGGCGCCCTTGCTGAAGGTCGTGCAGTACCCCACGCCGTCTCCAGGGCCACCGCAGGGGCGAAAGGGTGATGGGGGGCCTCCCATCCCTCGTGCCCCGGGGGGAGCATGGGAGAGGGCGCCCGTAAGGAAGAGGCAGCAGACAGCTGCCGGGAGTTCGATTACCTTCGGGGGGGAAGCTGTTGGAACCGAAGGAAGGTGGGTGCACGCGCCAATGCCGCCAAAAAACAGCCCGGGGCCCAGAAAAGCAGCTGACAGCCGCGGTAGCAGAGATGTTTCGCCTGAGACAGCCCGGCGCCCAGTGGGGGTGAAGCTAGCAACCGTGGATTGAAGAGAGAAGGTACGACCAGAGGCAACCTGAGACACGACCGAAGTGCAGCTAACAGCCGCAGAGCGATGGTGGATTGCATCGCCTGAGACATGCAGCTCTCTGGTAAGGTGCAGCTAACAGCCGCGGGATGGTGGAGCTCAGTTGCCTTCGGAGGATTGCTTCGCCTGAGACATGGGGCCCCCTGGTAGGGTGCAGCTAGCAGCCGCAGGAAGGTGAGAAAATATTTCGCCTGAGACGTGCGGCCAGGGGGGAACTGGCCGCGCCTGCCAAGATGGGGGGGTGCAGGTAACAACCGCAGGCTGCGGGGAGGTGAACCCGCCTGACACAATGACGACGCCAAGGTGGGGTGCAGCTAAGAGCCGCAAAACGAGGGGTAAATATAACACCTGAGACATCCCGAAACGAGGCCGGAGCGCAGCAGACAGCTGCAATGATATGGTGGAAGGCACCGCGAATGCTTCGCCTGAGACATCCTGGTTCCCTGGTAGGGTGCAGCTAACAGCCGCAGGAAGGTGGGAAATGGTTATTTTCGCCTGAGACATGTTACGCCTGAGAAGGACCGACGACCAGCGGGGGCGAAGTTAGCAGCAGCAGGGTGAAGGGAGACGGTCCCACTTGGGGCAATCTGACCCAGAGTGCAGCTAACAGCCGCAGAACGTTGGATGAATGCAACGCCTGAGACATATAGGCCCTCTGGTAGGGTGCAGCTAACAGCCGCAGGAAGGGGGATGTAGTTTCGCCTGAGACGTGCAGCCCGGGGGATGCGGGCCGAGCCTGCGTAGAAGGTAGGGGTGCAGCTAACGGCCGGTGGATGCTGGGTAGTGGTTCCGCCTGATACGTGACGAAGCCCAGCAAGGGTGCAGCTCACAGCAGCAGGGCGGGGGGAAAATGTAACACCAAAGACAACCCGAAACCCGGCCAGAGTGCAGCTGACAGCCGCAGTGTGGTGGGGGATTGCTACGCGTTTGCTACGCATGAGACGTCCCGGTGCTCTGGTAGGGTGCAGCTAAGAGCCGCAGGAATGTGGGAAAAAGTTATCTTCGCCTGAGACATGCTGGCGCTCTGCATGGGAGCGGCGAGCGGAGGAGAAGCCGAATGCCGCAGACGGCCGCAAACCGGGTGAAGTGGCCAGAAGGATAGTCGAGCCCAACCCGCTGGGAGGGGAGGGGAGCCACAGCCAGATTCACACCAGTGCAGCAGACAGCCGCAGCGGCGTGAAGCGGGCGGTGGGCACAACGGCCGAAGGAGACGACAGACGAGGCGGGGCCCAGAGGGCAACCAACCTGAAGCAGGGTGGAGAGGCGATCGAGGAGATAAAGGGAGCAGCCAGGTGCAGGAGAAGACCAGCAGAGAGTTCGCTGGGGGAGGTAAGGGCACCAGGGCGAGGGAGTGACACAGCAGTGGGAGGCACCAAGAAAAGGATAGCCACCCAGGCAAGTCCAGAGGGCCAGCCGGTGAGGGTGAACTGGCCAGGATACGACCGAGTGCCTGGCCCGCAAGGGGCTGGAGTTGGCCGTGGAGCTGGAGTTGGCCGTTGAGTTGGCCGTGGGGCTGGTAGCAGGGCTGGCAGTGGGGCTGGCCGTGGGGCAGGCCGCGGGGCTGGCAACAAGGTTGGCCACGAAACTGGCCGTCGGGTTGGCCATCCGGCTGGCCGTGGGGCTGACCGGGCTGGCCGTGGGACTGGCCGTGGGACAGGCATCCAGGCGGGCCGTCGGGCTGGCCGTGGGGCTGGCCGTAAGGCAGTGTCCCCTGGACGACCGTCACGGATAGCGGCCGCGCTCAGGGCGCACCCCCTGTGGTGTCGAGAAAACGCCACGCCTGCCGTGCCCTGGACGACTGTCACGGATGGCGGCCGCGCTCAGGGACCACCCTGTGCGCACCCCGTGGTGTCGAGAAAAACGCCACGCCTGCTGTGCCCTGGACGACCGTCACGGATAGCGGCCGCCCTCAAGGACCACCCCGTGCGCACCCCCGGTGGTGTCAAGAAAAACGCCACGCCTGCTGTGCCCTGGACGACCGTCACGGATAGCGGCCGCCCTCAAAGACCACCCCGTGCGCACCCCAGTGGTGTCGAGAATATGCCGCGCCTGCTGTGTCCTGGTCGACCGTCACGGATAGCGGCCGCGCTCATGGACAATCCCGTGCGCACCCCCGGTGGTGTCGAGAAAACGCCACGCGTGCCGTGCCCTAGACGACTGTCACGGATAGCGGCCGCGCTCAGGGACCACCCCGACCGCACCCCCTGTGGTGCCGAGAAAACGCCACGCCTGCTGTGCCCTGGACGACCGTCACGGATAGCGGCCGCCCTCAGGGACCACCCCGACAGCACGCCCTGTGGTGCCGAGAAAACGCCACGCCTGCTGTGCCCTGCACGACCATCACGGGATAGCGGCCGCGCTCAAGGACCACCCCGTGCGCACCCCCTTGTGGTGCCGAGAAAAACGCCACGCCTGCTGTGCCCTGGACGACCGTCACGGACAGCGGCCGCGCTCAGGGACCACCCCGTGCGCACCCCCTGTTGGCGCGCATGTGTTGCGTGGTGTGCGTGTCATGTGTTTGTGTGTTTGCGTGCTTGTGTGTGTTTGCGTGCTTGAGTGTGTGTGTGTGTGTGTGTGTGTGCTGTGCTGTGCTGTGCAGTGCTGTGCTGTGCTGTGCTGAGCTGTGCTGAGCTGTGCTGAGCTGTGCTGAGCTGTGCTGTGCTGTGCTGTGCTGAGCTGGTCTGTGCTGTGCTGTGCTATGCAGTGCTGTGCTATGCTGAGGTGCTATGCTGTGCTGCGCAGTGCTGTGCTGAGCTGTGCTGTGCTGTGTTGAGCTGTGCTGTGCAGTGCTGTGCTGTGTGCGTGCTGTGTGTCAATGTGCTGTGTGCTGTGCTGTGCTGTGCTGTGCTGAGCTGCGCAGTGCTGTGCTGTGCTGTACTGCGCTGCGCTGTGCTGCGCAGTGCTGCGCAGTGCTCTGTGACAAGGAGAGGGAGGAGGGGTGAGGAGGAGACGCGGGTGCGACGCGGGAATGAAGAAAACCATAACCCCACTAAACATGTGGGGAATACCAACAATGACAACACGAACAACCGCAACAGGAACAGCAACAGTAACAGCAGCGACAACACAAACCAAACACAACAGCCACAGCAGCAGCAACAACAACACCAACAACGTCGCCACTAACAACAACATCATCACCACCGACAACAACACCAACATCAACAACATCAACCACACCCCAACAACACAAACAACAACATAAACAACGACAACAACAACGACACCACCAACAACAACATCAGCAACACCAGCAGTATCATGAACCACAACACCAACGACACTACAACACCAACAACAGCAGCAACGATGACAACATCATCATCATTAACACCAATATCAACACCATCAACAACGACAACGCTTTGTCAAGCGCGAGGCCGGCAGAGAGCTTCAAACACGAATTCGTATGGCTAGATCAGAACCCCTACGCTAAAGCATATTTGCGAAACACATGGTATTTGGAAGACTCTGAAATAATCTGGGACGATGTGGAGCATCGAAAGACTATTGAATGACCATCTAAAACAATGCACCTCCTGAAGGTAACGCTTCCCACATTGGCATCCGAGAATTTGTGCTTCTGGTCCGCCTCGGACCACGAATCGGCAAATAATTCAGAGCTGGAGACGAGCGTGCCACCCCGCGACCCCCAAGTACAGCAAAACATTCGGGCACTCAAGCAAGAAGCACTGACGCTCTAGAATGAGCGAGAGTGAATATGTAGAGCAGGCGTGGTGATTACACTCTGCGAGGCGCGGGTGGGGGGCGCAGCGGAAGCGCGAACAAGCATTTTGGCGAACCCTGGCGTCGAGGCCACGTGGGCCAGGTCTGGTTGGCTGACTGGGCTCTAGGATACAGCGACTTCGTAGCGTGCCGCGGGGCGGTGCTGAAGCCGCCGCCGGCCCCCACGAGTCAAGGCTCACAGTCCGCCAGATGCCAGCGATACCGAACATTTGCCGGGGTACCTGGGGCGAGTTCGCGGCTGCGCCCCCCTCCTCCTCCATCGTCCAGTCTCGTCCTCCTCCTCCTCGTCCTCACCATCGTCCTCATCGTCGGCATCTTTTGCCAGCCTCGTACTCACCATCGTCATCTTCCTCGTCTCCCCCCGTTTTGTCCTCGCCGTCCTTTCGTTCGACCTCCTCGCTTTCCTCGTGCCCTTTGTGCTCCTCTTGCCGTCGTCCTTCCCCCGTCTCTTCCGTCTCCTCCTCCTCCTCCAGCATTTGTCCTCCTCCGAACTCCTTGTCTGGCCTCCCTTGTCATCACTCCTCCTCGTGCTCGTCCTCTTCGTCTCTTTCCTCCTCCTCCGCGAGGTCAGACATCACCCGTCCGATGAGATTCTGGAGGCCTCTGGTTCTCCCAGGAGGGCGCCGCTGCCCCCGCCTCGAAGGGGGAAAGGGGGGGGCATCCTCAAGGAGCGACAGATGGGACAACCTAAAAGATCCGAGCCTTGTGTTCCCATCGCTCCTCTCCCGTCCTTCCCTCCCCGACATGCGCAGCGAAAAGCCCACGTGGCGAACATACCTCGAGACTGAAGGGGCATCGATGTAAGATGGCACGAGAAGGCACTTCCCGCGTCGTCAAAAATCACCCTGCCAGGGGCAGAGGGGGGCATCCCCCAGGAGCGACAGATGAGAATCCCCAGAGCAGCATCCATTATGTCAGGAAGGAGGCTGTAAATGTTGACTGAGCCAAGAATGGAACGCCAGGCGAAGTCGGGGGCACGAAGCTGGAGAGAATCAGCTAGGTGTCTGGCGTGTCGGCGAGGGGGGCGAGGCGGAAGAGGACCGGAAGCGCGGCGGAAGAAGGAGGAACACAATGCGAAGCCTTGCGCTCCCATCGCCGCTGGCCCTCGCGCGCTACACAGGCTGGGGCCTCCCAGGAACAGCCGGGTCAAAGGGGTCCTTCGCTCACTTCCGCTGGCGGAGCCGCAAGTCTTTCCGCGGCCTGGTCAAGGGGGCCCTCCGCTCACCTCCGCCGGCGGAGCCGCGAGTGCTTCCGCTTACACCGGAGGCGATGATGTTCAGGCCTTCGAATTCCCAGCGGCAGAACATCTTTTGCGACGTCGGAATAGCCCTGGGAGCCTCTGGGGGTGAGACACCCCGTCCGGCCCTCCGTCGCATCCTAGGGCCTCGTCGGAGCCTCCTGCGATTCTCCTGCCTCGATTGGTTGCGTAATAGCCGAAACATGTACTTGAACAAGTTGCCTGCCCATATGGGACATCAAATGACAAGTCTCTGTCGCTATTGTATTTTGCTAGTTATGGCCCAGTCTACATCGCAGAGCGGGGGGGGCACCATGCCCCGACTTGCGGCCGTCGCGGTCGCAGCGGCTTCCTCCAAAAAGCCGACCCAGAGGCTTGGTTCGAGGCCGGATACCACGCAACGATCGATATCCCCTGAGATCCGACGTCGTGTTTTTTTCACTGCGAGGTCCCCGGAAATCTCGACCCACTCCCCAGGACCGCGGTTTCGTCCCTAGCCGTTTTGTGACGGCCCCAGGGCCCTGCGAGGGCCCCCAGGGGCCGAAATTCGCAGAACACCTCCGTCTGGATTTTTGCAATAGGAGGAGGAGGAGGAGGAGGAGGAGGAGGAGGAGGAGGAGGAGGAGGAGGAGGAGAAGGAGGAGGAGGAGGAGGAGGAGGAGGAGGAGGAGGAGGAGGAGGAGGAGGATGAGGGGGAGGAGGGCAAGCTAGGTGCGCTCGCGTCATATCTGACATCCTACCCCTCCTTCCCATCCCTTACCATGGCGCAGATCCCCTCTCTACTCGCACAGTCGGGTGTCGAGCAGGGCAATGATCCCGAAAGGGTACGCGATGCATTGTAGAGCACGGCATGGCATGGCGTAGAAGAGCACCGCAAAGCGTAATATCAACCTAGCATTGCATTGCATGCCGTGGCATGGCACGGGAAATGACGCCAGCGCTGCAGCGGGAGCACGAGTCGAAACGAGCGGAAGCACGATTCGGAACGAGCGGAAGCACGGAAATGAGGCCAGCGCTGCAGCGGGAGCACGATTCGGAACGAGCGGGGCCCGAAAAAGAGGCTGGCGCCTCAGCGAGAGCAGCATTTTGAAAAAATGCAGGCGAAAACCCAACTCCGGGGAAACGTGCGTGTAAAAACAGTACGCGGGGGGGGGGTCGGACACTCCCAGGCCGTCATCAGGGGAAGAGGGAGAGTAGTATTCACATTGAGTAATTGTGGAGGGGGATGAGGAGGAGGAGGAGGAGGAGGAGGAGGAGGAGGAGGAGGAGGAGGAGGAGGAGGAGGAGGAGGAGAGGAGGAGGAGGAGGAGGAGGAGGAGGAGGAGCCATCGCCGTCGCTGTCGTCGCCGCCGCAGCCGTCGCCGTGGCCGCCGCCGCCGCGGCCGCCGCCGCTGCCGCCGCGCCTCGGCGGTGCCGCGCGCCGAGCCGCTGGCGGCGCGCGAGAGGGCCCAGGCCGCGGCCGCGAGCGGGCCTCTCATGGCCTGCCGCCGCCGCCTCGCGGAGGGCGTCGTCGTCGTCGACCTCGTCGTCGTCCTCCTCCTCCTCCTCTTCTGCCTCCGCCTCCTCCTGCCCATTCCTCCTGTCCATCCTCCTCCTCCTCCTCCGCACCATCCTCAGCACAAGGTGAGCGCAAATGGAGCTGCCCGAAACCGAGGATAAAGGGACGAGGGTAGCGGGAGAAGGGTAGGGGGGAAGATAAGCCACCGGCTGAGGAGTGGGGGGGCCGCCGCTCCCGCCCGCCGCCGCGCAGGGGCACCGTCGTCGCCCCCTCGCCGCCGCGGCGGCCTCCCCCCAACGGCCAGGGCTCAGGCGCGCCGCCCGAGCCGCAGGACAGCGGCCGCGGAGGCCGCGACCAGCCGCAGCCACGCCCAAGGAGGGCGCCTGGCATCGAAGAGCACGTGAGCGTCGTGCACAAGCTCGGGTGCTACTACGCCTCGCAGCAGCGCAGGACCTCCTGGGGAACCACCACAGCGCGCAGCAGCCCCAGCGCCACCAGCAGCACGCCATGGAGCAGAACTGGAAGCAGCAGCGCGACGCCTCGAGGGAAAGGTGGTCAGGAGCAGGGACCACACACCTCGAGGCGTCGCGGCGCGGCCCTGGGAAAAGGTGGACAGGAGCAGGGTCCACAGCCCAGGCGCAGCGCCAGCGCAGACGCAGCAGCAGTGCCAATGGCTGGACTGGCGACTACGGAGCCATCGGAGGGCGGCCCTGGGAGTGGGCCCTCGGGGATGGCCATCAGCACAACTCTCAGAAGAGGCAGCACAGTCAGCAGCAGCAGCAGCAACAGCCTCAGACCCACAAGCACCACCACCAGCCAGCCCAACACCAGCACCAGCAAAAGCACCCACAGCACCAGCAGCGAAGCGACAGCGACCAGCACTGGAAGCACAGTGCGCCATGGAGGAGCGCCTCAGCCAGAAGGAGAAGCAGCAGGCGCAAAAGAAGGGACCAGCTCGACACTCCTGCATCAGCCCACATCGGCAGCTTCCAGTACAGCCCCCAGCAGAAGGCAGTCCTGGACAGCATCACGCCAGTCTCCTTCGCCGTCGCGATGGAGCACGAGAGCTGGTCCGCACCACCGGATGACGAGGAGATGAGGTTCGTGTGGTACAAGACGAAGTGCCACAGGCTGGGTCGCCTCTCCGAGAACATCGCTGGTGCTAGGCTGGCGGGCTTGTGCACAACCAGCCTCGAGCAGGAAGCGGCGATCACCGCCACGAACATCTCCTTCGTCCTGCCCCACAAAGAGCGCGTGAAGCAGCTCAGGGCTACGCTGGAAAAGCTGGAGGAGGATCATGCCGAGATGGAGAAGCGGCTCAGCAATATGCTCGACCAGGAGGCGACGGCCGCCAGAACCATCGGGGTCTACAAGACCCTGATGAGGGAAACCAGAGATCAAATGGCAAAGTCGGCGGGCGTAAAGGAGGAATCGTCAGAGGAAGAGGGGAGTCATGATCCCACCAGAGGACGCGCGCCACACCCGGCCGCGAGGAGAAGACGCGACCCATCAGCAGCCCCAGCGGTACCAGCCACAGCCCAGCCAGCCACAGCTCAGCCAGCCCCAGCAGCTCAGCAGCCACGACCAGCCCCAGCAGCACCAGACGAGATCAAAGACGCCATCAGGAGACTGACCGAGAGGCTCGACTCGCAGCAGAAAAAGGAGCAGCAGCAAAGCGACCTGCTGGCACAAGCAGAGCTCAAGCACAAAAGCGAGCTGAAGGCCTACGAGCAGACCATGGCGCAAAAGATGTACCACACGACCGAAGTGCAGCTGGCCAAGCAGGAGGAGTGGCACACATGGGAGGTTAACGCGCTCAAGCGGCATCACAACGCCAAGCTGGAGGAGGAGGAAGCGAAAGCATACGAAGCACAATGAGGCACCCAGAGGACACAGGAGGAAAGGGCCAAAGGGATGCTCGTGGACTTGCAAATGCATATTGAGTTGGAAAAGAAGACACTACGTGAGGAGATGCACAAGGAAGACCAGAGAAGAGCGGCCATCTACACGCAGCAGGTCCAGAAGGCCAGGCAGGAAGAGCAAGCTGTGAGACAGATGGCGGCTCAGGAGGCCAAGTGGTACAAGATGGCGCAGGGGCACAACGAAAAGGCGACGCAGGAGATGGCGGAGGCGGAGTACCAGGAGCGATGCGCCCGTCGCAGCGCTTACAAGGATGAGGAGCTGCGGATCGCAGTGAACTACCAGCAGATGGCCTACGAGCACCAGGAGGAAGCCAACAGGCGCGAAGCGATGCGGGTCGTCCTGAACCTGGAGCACGCAGCCATCCAGGCGAAGGCATACGAGATGCAACACGAGCAGGAAAAGTACCTGGAGCGCGTCGGGGAGCACCAGGAAGCGGTGGACAAAGCCCAAAGGATGGAGGAGGTGGCACTGCAGCGACAAGCAGCGGCCACAAGTGAGCTCCAAGCACTACAGCATCAGCAGGAGGTGGAGAACCAAGTAACGCAGCAGTACCACAGCACTCTGCAGCACCAGCACCAGCAGGAGATCCAGGCCGTGGCGCAGCAACTACAAGACCTCCAACGCGCACATGATTTGCAAACGGCAGGACTCCAGAACGCACTACGGGACGCCTGGGGAGCAGGAGGACAAGTGGACGAGGACCTGCTAATCGACATGACGGACGACCTCATGGAAGACCCAGTCACGAGTGAGCGCGACCAAGGCATGGCGGAGCAGGAGGGCGCGTACCAGAGGGGGCAACTGGAGGCAGACTTACTTCGGCTACTACCTAGCCAGTACGAACTTCCACACCCAGAACTACAGCCGTACCTCGAGGAGCTGGCCGAGGTGGGATTTGGAGAGAGGTCCCACACATCGTCGATGCCAACGCCAGAGGAGCCTACCCTCTCGTCGTGCGACGACCTCAGCTTCCAGGACCAAAGCTTCGTGCCGAGGGCATCCACCGAAGAGTGTCCGCTACCTCCACCACCACCTCTACAGCGCCCACATACCGAGGAGCACAACAGCGTCGGCTTATTCTCGTACCCAGGGCAGCTCGACGCACGGGCGAACAGCGACTGCATCCCAATTGGCGAATCCGACGACGCCGACCTGCAGGACGAAGAGACGAAGCTCCGCCAAGGCCTGCGCAAGGAGAAGGAGGACGAAGCCCCGACAGACCTCGCCTCACTCTCACCAACGATACCAGCCGACTCACCCATCCCGACAGAACAGCCCACGCCAAGACACATACTTTTTCCGCCCGTCACGCCTCTCACGCCAAACAAGACCCCACAACAGCGATCACAGCCAGCCAAAACCCCCATGACGACGCTGTTCATCGACCTCAGCCGCGACGAGGATGCTTGCCCCAGCACACCACCACGGATGCCGATTGAGGACATCACGCCCACCGAGCCACACGAGCCACGGCTGCCACCACCGCGATTCCACCTGGGCACGCCAGAGAGGACGAGCTCGGCACCTCCATGCAGAGGTAACCTGAAGCAGCCAAGGGAGCCCAGGAGGGCGAGGAGCCAGCCGAAAAAGGTCAGGATCTGCGACGCGGACGATGGCTTCGCGGACCCAGGCGACAGGGTGGCATCCTTCATCGAGAGCGGCGAGAGCGACCTCGACGGAGGTCGACTGTCAAAAAACTGAGGAGGAGCACGCAGGCTGGGGGGCAACTGGCCCAGACCTGCGTCCAGACAGCCACACCAGAAGACATTGGGGATATCGGGCCCAGACTCAGAGACCCTTGCGGTGACGAGCCTACGCCCAACGACCCCCACCCACGGCCCCTGGCCGCACGCACGCGATCGCACCTAGCCTCCATCACACTACATAGCTACGTCCAAGCCGATGCGAGCCTGGGGGATGCCGCATCCGCTTCAAACCACCAACGCTCTACTAGGGAGCCCCGACTCAAAAGACGCAGCAGACGAACCACCTGCATTACTAGCTCCCTAGACGTCGCAACTGTGGGCAAGGGTGGGGACCACCCACAGAACGGCGACACCAAGTTTGAGCGCACCAAGCGCGGACCTGAGCGACTCCCTCAGGCCGTGATCCCCACTGCCAGCGGGGTCCAGGCAGGCAACCAGCACCGCGACGGGGTGAGGCTGCAACAAGAGTGGGAGAGCTACTCGAGCAGCCAGCCGCAGTGCCAACAGCGTGGACCAAGGCGACACCCCTTGGCCACGCCAGGATCGACACCCCACTTCGCGGGACCCGCGGCGGCCCATGCGGCGTCGCAATCCTGGCAGCACAGCCACGCGGAGGAGGACCCAGGCAGCAGGTCGAGACTATCAGATCTACCACATCTGGAGGTCTCCCAGCGCCGGGTACTCTGGGAGCATCCCACACTTGCAGTCGACGGAGCCTGGCCCTCTCGCCAACCTCTCGACACCAGCCACTTGGGCTCACAAGCAGACCACATGACAAGCATAAGGACCCCTAGGGGGCTGGCTAGTCCACCAGCGACAGCCAAATTAAATGCACACACCACGACACAACCAAGCACTGACCACACCAGACAGATACAGCATGGACCCATACAAGCCTACGAGCTAGAGCAAATACAAGATACATACCTCGACAGCAAAGGCATCAGCCCAACGCCGGAAGAATCGCACCTCAACGACGCCACAGCAGTTGCAAAAGCAAGAAGAGTGGCGAGGCGCAAAAGAGTACTCAGACAAGCGCTTAGGGCGGCGATGCGCCCAGACCTTGGAGTGATGCTGACCAAGAACTCCTTCGAGGCGCTTGCGGACAGCAGCAGCAGCGAGGACGACGCGCGGCCAGATAGCACTCAGCCAGCCCCCTGGAGCGGAACACCCTGAAGAGCGGGACTTGGAATTCGCCAGCGGGTGCCCGAGTCGAGAGCGCCGCAGCAGCTGCCCGAGGTCGCGTACTACTTGGAGGCCAGCGCCTCGATCCACAGCAGCAGAGCATACTCAATACTCTGACGAGCCCAAACAACACAACGTACCGACCAGGACCTGTCTGCGTGGGCGTGTCAGCGCGGGGTCGC